AATTAAAGAAAAAGATGTATATAAAACAGCTGCAGTAACACCAGATCACCATATAGAGTTTACCCGTGTAATATTTGGTCTTGCTAATGCACCTGCTATACTTGCTCGAGCAATATCAGAAGCATATGGTCATTTGCAAAAAATTGGACTAGCCAAATATTATGATGATATTGGAGGTGGTCATAATTCGTTCGAAGATCATTTAGACTTTCTTCATAAACTTTTTGAAGCAACACGTAAGCATAAACTAAAATTTACTAGACAGAAATGTAATTTCGCTGTTCAGAAAGTCAAATTGCTTGGAAGAATTTTGGACGAAGACGGTGATCACCCGGACCCTAATAGAATCAAATCAGTACAGAGATATGAAACACTAGATACCATCCATGAAGTTAGAAGCTTTCTTGGATTTGCCAATACTCTACGTCGTTATATTAAAAATTTTGCTGTTATATCAAGACCTCTATCAAACGTTTTAAAGAAGAACTGTACAGAATTAAAAAAATCTAAAAACCAACCGGTTACTCTGAACCAGGAGCAACAAGAAGCTTTTGTTAAATTGAAATTAACATTAACATCACCACCATTACTTGCTTATTTTAAACAAGATGCACTCACTACAGTAGAAACAGATGCAAGTTATGAAGGTATAGGAGCTTGCCTTTCTCAAATTCATGACGGAGAGACGCGCATCATCGAATATGCTAGCCGTACACTCAAAGATGCTGAGAAAAAGTACCATAGTAATGAACTTGAAGTAACTGCAGTTCATTGGGCAATAACCGATAAATTTAGACTTTACCTTACAGGGAAAAAATTTAAACTCTTAACAGACAGTTACTCAACTGCATATATTGTAAGTAAAGCTAAATTAAACCGTAAATTTGCCAGATATGTAGTAGATTTATCATCATTTGATTTTGAGCCTATATATAGATCAGGTAAACTTAACCATATTGCAGATCATTTATCTAGGTATCCTCAACCAGACATAAATGAGAATCACTTATGTTTAGCAGTCATCCCAATGCAGAATATCAAATTGGAATTGGCGCAGAAGTCTGATGCTTATTGTCAACAAATTGCTAAGAAATTGGGAAGTAATATTGATAACTTACATATTCAACAAATAAAATTTTCTTATAAATATGACAATGGTATTTTAGTTCATGTAAATAACGAATATGGACATGAAACTATTAAGATAGTAATCCCATTTTCATGTCGCAGTATAGTTCTTAAAAGCTGTCATGACAATGCTGGTCATTTTGATGCAAAGAAAACTTTAGAAAAATTAAAATCAAGATTTTGGTGGAGTTCAATGCGCAAGGATACAAAGTTGTACGTCAAAGGTTGTATTGTTTGTCAAAAAGTTAATAGAAGAACAACTTTGGCATACGGTTTGTTAGGTGAACGAAGCCTTCCTCAAGTTCCATTTCAAGTTGTATCATCTGATCATCTATCATTGCCACCAACAAAATCCGGTAATTGCTACATTTTAGCACACATATGTCATGCTACACGATTTCTTGTAGCTAGACCAACTTGTACAACAGCAACAGATGACATTATTAATACAGTGGAAAAAGACATCATCAATCAATATGGACCGCCTCTTACATATATTAGTGACAATGGTTCTTCTTTCACCAGTGCTAAATTTCATCAGTTTCTAGATAAATATGGAATTGAACATTTGTTAAGCCCACCATATACCCCACAATCAAATGGTTTAATTGAACGTTCTAATGCAACAATAATAGCTGTACTCTCTAAATACACATTAGAATACCCCAATGACTGGGATGAAAAATTACCAAATTTAATTTTAGCCATTAATACTATCCAACAGAGTTCATCAAAATACTCACCATTCTATTTACTACATGGTTATGAACCTAGAATCATTTGTGATGAATTAAATTTGGGCACTACAATATCCGAGATCTCCAGAGATCTTCAGTTAGACAAATTAATTGAAACAAGGAAGGATGCGGCCGAAAACATCAAAAAGAAGCATGACGAAAATAAAAAACGTTATGATAAAAATAGGTTAAATCAAACATTTCAAAAAGGAGATTTAGTTTGGTACAATTGGCCTTTAGTCTCAGATTCCAAACTATCACCAAAATACAAAGGTCCATTTATTATTGAAAACGCAGTAGGTAAAGTATGTTATAAAATAAAAAAATTTGATCAATCAAATTTAAAGAAGAAAGACACTAGAGTAGTACACGTACAGTCACTCAAACCATACATAAACAGACCAAACCTTGATGATCCTGGTAATATTGCATTTGAAGAAACCACCGAAGCAGAAGATAAACCAAACGCTGAAAACAGCAAAAGCTCAGAGAATGAAGATTCAATCGGAAACAAGGTTCCTAAAGTTTCTAGTCATGGTCGAATAATAAAAAAATCTAAATGGCTTAGTGAGTATATCACTGAATAAAAAAAAAGTCCTAAACTATAAACATTGATCTTAAAATTTGTTAATAATATTCCTCGGTAAATATATTCATATAATTTTTTTATTAATTTTTTTATTGATTTAAGTTGGAACAAATTTCCTTATATAATTTTTTTTTAGGGGCGAAAAATATAATATAGTACTTATATAAAATTGTTTTTAAAAAGAAATTATATATTATATAAGATTGTTAAAAAAAAAAAAAAAAAAGATATTATGTATTATATAAGTTGTTTTTATGATAAGCTTATTATTATATTAATTATTATTATTATTATTATTTTAATTGTTAATTAATTGTTAATCATTTTTTTTTTGGCCGACTGTAAGGTTAATAATATGTTATCTTCCATGGCAACATATTTTATAACATTATATATTGTATGTTACGGACTGTTATCATCCGTTAACAGTTAGTTAGTTGTCAGTACTCAGTAACGGTTCGTGCCGTGAGGGTCTTTCGAGTATATAACGTTTTAAAGAATATACAAGTGTTAATAACGAATTGATTCTTGTTGTTTATACCTTGTAATATATTTATTACAATATTAATACTTATAATTAATATTTGAAAATTCAATATTGAGTTCCTTATAAGTTGTTTCTGTTAGAATTAATTAAAAAAGTTGAACAAAAGTCTACAAACAATTTTTAAGAGCAGGATACTCAAACGTAAAATAACGATTTGTCATCAAAAAATGTTTTAATTTAAAAACGAATAACCACAATAATTTTCACCTAATTTTTGTATTATCATTTATTTAAATTTACGATTTGTTTGTAACTTTTTTTACTACTTTTAAATGATTTTTTTGTTCGGTCAAAAAGTTTGAAAATTTAACAAAGTTTTTCATAAGTAATTCATTCAAAAATAAAAAAAGTCTAAAAATATATAAGCTTAATAGACATATGAAACTCAAATTTGGATGAAATTCAATAACGAAACAAAAATTTTTAGTTATTTCGATGCAATTCAAAATTATTTTTCGTAGGGATTTAAAAATTATTATTATTATATTTTATGCTCGTAATAAAATTTTCATGACATTTAGATTAATTGTATGGTGTTTCCGTGTAGTTATTTATATCTAATAGATTAGCATATTCTATAATCAATGCTAATAGTAAAATAAATTACTAATAATTATATAAGTAACAATATATTTATAGATAATAGGCTGATAGATATTCTGTGGATAGACCGTCTCCACCCAGAATCATTTTTTATTCGCAATAATTATATTAACATCTAACACAGTTATATAATAGTCAATAAATAACACATCCAATATACTGGTCAACTCAATGACAAAGTACACTATATTATATAAGTAACTAAACCAATATTACACATGATGTGAAAAATTCCTAGATCTATCTATAGTATCTTTATTAATATGATTATTGTACTACAAACATATCTATTACTTGTATTGTATAAATGTTAAATCAACTAAAGATAATTTTGTATTATATTACAACTGCAGAGAACATAATGAGTACCTATTATATTTAGGTAACTACATAAAAAATTAATTCCTTAGTTGTCAATAGGTTACATTTTTTAAATTACTTTTAAATAGGCAGTCTTAATATAACAAAACAATTATTATTTTTATTAGTTTTGGGTGCACAAGTCTCTTTAGTTGTATCGATGCATTTGACTCATACTGTACAGCAGAGCAGATATCTATTTTTTTTTGTATAAATTGTAGATAACTTTTACATGTTAAAAAGAAAAAAAAGTAAAATTTAACTCTGAATTTTATATTTTTCTATATAAATAATTAATTAACTTGCTGTCTTGCATAAGTATATGAAAATAATACACTACCACAAACTTTCATTAAACCTTAACATCAGAGTAGAACTGGAAATAAAACCTTGTGAATAATATCCATATGACTATGTCAATTTAGGTACCAGAATAGTATTATTTTTCTTAGTATAATTAAATATAATGAAAACCTCAATAAATGTAAATGAGATAATTAATAAATAATATTTATTAATTTCTGTGCATAATTTAATAAAAAAAAAATCTTTTGTTAACTTTATTAAAGTTCATAAATTATCATTTAAAAAAAATGTAAAGAAGGACCAGTGTTTCAAATTAATATATTTCTAGTTATAAATATTGTATTTAGGAGGTTAGGTCCAAACAAAAATTCTAATCATTAAACTTGTAAACTCATAATATTACAAATTACTAGATACCTTCTGGCATTATAATATAGTTATTATGCATTTTTTTCAAATTAGATAAGTTATTACATCTATTTATTAATTTACCTGTAATTATTTTGAGATTTAAATAATAATTACTCAATTTAAAAGATTTGATAACTCTATTGATAATTTTAACAAAAGAGAAAAAAATTTAAAAAGAGAACAATTACATTTAAATTAATTTATTTAAAAAATAGTTTACATTATACAATTATAATGATTAATTTTGAAAAATATAAATACTAGTATAATATTATATAGTTCAGTTAAAAGTGTTTAATGAAACATAACAATATATATTTAAGTAATAAATAATAATATATTTAACAGTATCAGCATTTATTATTGTAAATTTAAAAAATATTTGTGACCAATAAAGCCTTTTGATGTTACAGGGTTGTCTAATGCTTCTTTGAATGAATCTAATGGTAAAGTTTTATGAGCAGGTGCAATTAACTTGCCATTCTTCATAAATTGTGAGAGTTCATCATACATTTGGTTGTATTGCTCTGTATGAGCATTTTCTTTACGCCATCTGGTCATCCAAAAACCTCTGAGTTGAATGTCATTAAATATAAATGTAGCAGTTGGAACAATAACTGGTTGTTTTGACATACCACCATAAGTCACCATCACACCACCATAATTTAATGTGCGTAAAACTTCTGTGGAACTTTTACCGCCTATATTGTTTATTCCTAAACGTGGTTTTGATAAAAATCCACTTTTAAATAAATCTGTAGTTCTAAATAAGGAAAAGTTAAATGTTAATATATCAGTAGACAAAATGAACTCAAAAATACTAATTGAGATATAATTAATATTGTACCTTAACTCTTCTTCAGTAAGTATGTATGAAGCACCTAGAGACTTAAGATGATTTTTCAAATTTTCCAAATCTGGTTCAGGTCGATTGCGTATAATATTTACACTTATATAACCAAAAATATTTGCCAATTGTATGACATTCTGACCACATGCACTGTTTGCTCCATTTTGTATAATAACATCATTTTTGTTTAGAGGAACAAAATCATGTAACATTCTGTATGCAGTACAGGGATTAGAAGAAATACCGCTTAATGCATACACGTCGATATCTTTACTTACCTGAAACATACAAGAATAATATAAAAACCATAATAGTAATTATGTACCATAAAACATTCAGAATGTTTGTATTTAATGTATAACCTATACATTTTGTGTTGTTTTTTTTTTTTTTTGTTGATTGTTATTACATTTAAAAGTATTATTTTTAAAAATCATTCAATAAATTTAAAAAAACATATTTTAGTTTTGATTATACACCACTGACTTTTCTAAGCTGATGAGAATCGAATACACCTGCTGTACACCAAGTACCCATAGCACCATCTGGTATGACTCGATCTCCAGGAACAAGATTAGTAACGCATGATCCGACTGCCATAACGTCTCCGACTCCTTCAAAGCCCCCAGTAGTAGGTAACGGCGGTTTCACAGGATACACACCTTGAATAGTATTAATGTCGGAAGGATTGACTGGTGCAACAATCATTTTTACCAAAACCTTAGACACATTAACATGTAAACGTACTGTTTGTGTTAAAATAATCAATTGTATCTTACCTGTTTATCATCAAGTTTTTCAGGTAGTGTGTCTTCTACAAGACTGGTAACTTTCATGGGATCTCCATATTCTTCGTATACGATTTTACGACAGTGCATATCACGCAGATGGTATTTAGACACGAGAGATCTCAAAACTTTGGTTTGATATACCGAACTGCTTAACCAAAATACTTTGCGGAACATGGTAAATCCAGAAAAACGAAGCTAGATATTATGTTTATCTGAAATCACTACGAGGATTTATTAGTGAAGTCGTGCTTGTAGAGTGTAGACTGTAGACAACAATTTAGTATTTACATTTCTTTGCCACGTCGTAAAAAATCATAAAAATTTGATTAAATGATTATAAATCAAGAATGTGTGATAAGTGATAACCGATATCAGTTTAACGCATTAACACATTATCATATTATATAATAATAAATATAATATCTACGCATGCGTGATATAATTTAATAAATATAGTTTAATATACTACTAATTAACATTGTTACTATAATTATTGATACAAACCTTAATATATAACATTTAAAAGTATTTTTTAAAAAAAATTTTGTCTTTTTGTCTAGAAGTTATATATTCTTGAAAAAATATCTATTCTATATTTATCCGTTTTATCGAGCACAATTTGGTCTTAAAAATATTCCATAGTAATTATTAATTATTCAAAAATTTCACAAATTAGATCATAATTTTATTAAAAAAAACAATAAATTTCCTATGCATTAAATGTAAGAACATCACTAGTCACTACTGTCCATCACGCATTCTAGCGGATGCACTAATTTCGAACTCTGGACTATATTTTTCACTTTGAATAACCGTGTTCGATGTCCTTCCTCTATAAAAAAAATAGTGTTCATAATAAAATCCATGATAAGATTGATAAAAGTATAGATGAAATATAAAACGGTTTTTGTGGAAGTAACTAAAACAAAAATTTGTTTTATTGATTGTTTACTGATACAGCATATATTGAAGTTAATTCAATGCCAAAATAATTTGCAATGCTATTTGTACCTACATAATGCATTAATATTTTATATTGTATATTATCTATGGATTTGTATTAAAAATATATTATCAAGGATACATAATATATACACTAAGCCTTTTAGGGAATGCCAGAAACATTAGGTATACCGTTAAAAAGATTTATTAGTGATAGGTGTAAACCATAGACCTGTTAATATTTATAGGTCTAAGGTGCTTACATTTAACAGTTTTGAGATAAAATTATCATCAAAACTATTTTTAGTAAACTTTAATCGTACCTTCGTAAATTTTATTTACGAATTTATTTACTATAAATTTATAATAACTAATAAGTTTTAATTATAATATTTTAAATAATAAATTATAACAGAAAAATAATGTCGTTAAAAAATTAATTGAATCACCATTTTCTTAAGTTTCTTCAATCATACTTGAGATTAAGTTGAAACAGCACTGCATTGGTAATAATTACAAATATGTCAATGCAGGTAATGCCGATTACCTATTACTTATTAGTTATTACCCATCAATTTGGTATAACTTAAGGACCAAGGGTAACTAATAACTATACTTGATACTTCTCGTTTGAAATAAAATTGTTAAATTTTTGAGTATCATTTCCCCTTGTTTCAACAAACTTAAACTGGATGCTTTTATTTAAAAACATCTTTACACAAAGTAATATTAGTAGGTACAATTTTTGTTTAAGCTAGCGTATTATACCACTTATCAACCATTAACCAGATTTGACTTCATTTCGTCGTCTACAAAATATAGACATAACTTGTGGTCGGTTTTTTTTTTATTAAGTTGGCATGTCTTTAAATAAGTACCTAGGTATAGTTTTTAATCGTTTTTGATGAAAGTTGTATGCTCTTCATATTATCATAATACGTGGTTAGGTATGTTACTATGTTAGCTGAAATTTTATAGCACATGACGATTTGTCATTTTTAAATTTGCATTTATAATTGTGTACTTATTGGTAGTGTTTCTTGAAAAATGTCGGTACCTACTCAATAATTTCAACTAGGTACATAGTTTAAGTTCATGTATTTTCTACAAAATTCAAATCGGTAAGATAAAGTTATTACAATGATTAAAAAAAAAAAAAAAACTGTATCTAAATGTATTTTTAAAAATTAAATGATTTAGTTACTTGATGTTTATATCAAAAGTGATTAAAAAAAATCGAAAATATAATATTTATATTAAATATTAATCTTTCTTTAATTCATTCATATTATATCATATTATTAACCTCTGTGTTAACAATGCTTGATAAATCTCGATATAGGTACCTTTTTACTATAGATATACAGTGAAACCTCCACTAACGAATACCTCCCAATAGCGGACGTTGGGGAACGGGGACATTTTCACTACTTTTCAATAGGAAAACCTCCGAATAGCGGACTCTCCGAATAACAGACATTATTTTATTAGGGAATTCTTAAAATAATGGTAAATCCCTAATCATTATTTGAAAATAATACGTATTCACATACGTATGCACTTTCGTAATAATGTAATTACGATAACAAACTCGTTATGGGACGATACGATTACGACAAATTCGGTTATCGGTGAAGCGGTTATGTGTTATGACAAAAGTATGTCAGTTAATGACGGTTTTAGACGCGATGACTACATTATTTATAAACAAAGCTCACCGATTTTTTCAAACAAAAATAATTTAAAAATACATGAACATGATTTTGATTTTGATTGTAAAAATATAATAATTTACAATAAATAATAAGTAATAACATTATACGTACGCATATATACATACATGGTACATTATTATACAAATAGATTTCAAAAAATGTATCCCCTCTGAATAACGGACAAAATGTTGGTGACCAAGAGTGTCCGCTATTCAGAGGTTTCACTGTATTATATTATTACCGATCAGTATTTTTAGATAGATACAGATCTTCACTAAATATATTATGCAGCTCATTTATAATTAAACAAATAAAACATTAGCGTCTATATTTTTTTGTTAATTTATAAATCCCTAAACCATTTTCTTTTTAGCCTTTTTGAAGGATTGTCTCGTATATTATCGGAGTTGTATAAAAAGATCAACGGGCTTAAATGAATTTGCAAAGGTAGAGCAAAAGAATTTGTGATGATGAAGAGTGAAGACAAAGATGTTTTTACTTTTAAAACTATTTAGACATTTTAACTTCTTTTTTTCCGTGCAAGTTTGCTGGTTAATATATAGGTACATAAATTTTGATTCAATTATAAAAAAATATTTTGATGTTTATTTTTTGTAAAATTTCACTCTTATTTAACGTAAATGACTATAACAGTCTAACCTATAAATATATTTTAAGCAAATATACGAAATAAATGATAATTTAAATAATACGAATACTTAATAATGAAGATTATCAATCTAAAGTTTAGAAAATACATTTTAATGTGATACATAGGTATAAAATGTGTTGTAATATTAAATTACATTATGTGTGAATTTATAATAAACTAAACTAAATAATGGATTATTTTTAAATTAAAAATTATTATTAACATATACATTTTTAATCATTCTATTTAGTTGGTCATTATTAGAAACATACAGATTTTTATTAATAATGCATTATGTTTTTAGATTATTATTTATTATTTAGGTTAAGTTAAGAATTAAGATCCAATAGCTTTTTTCCATTTTTACTTTTAATTTTTAAATGCTTGACTGATTCATACCTTTTTTAAATCAATTTTAATTTGATTATCGTATGCTTAAATATTACGTATACCTAACTGTTTAATAAGATTAAATTTTTAAAATTAATTTTAATTTATAACTTCAACTTATTTTACAAATATTTTCCATGCATATTAAATCAATAATATTATATATTTACTAATGTAGTATACAGAAATATTCGTACACCATATTGTTGCTGTGCACCTGTGTCCATCGATTTTTCCACATACACAAAGAACAAAACTAAGTTTTAGTTCAGAGAATAAGGTAAATTATACATATGTATATACAGTAAAAAGCATAACAGAAATAGATAACTTATAATAAATTGTGGTGATTTTATAAACATATTTTAAACTGATGAATTTTAGAGAAATATCTATTACGATATATGCGTATTTTAAATTGATTTATCTGTAGTTTGTAGGTTAGTGAATAGTTAACAGATGGCAAAGTTAATTTTCCTTTATTATTTATATATTCATAAATTACTCACAGATTTCTAATTTCTAAATTGTTAATAATAACTAATACAAAAGAAATTTACAAAAATAGATTAATTGTTATATTACTTTATAACATAATTCATGAAATCATGTTGATTCAAACACAAATTTTATAAATGGTAGTGGCGTGTATTCTTATAGGCAAGTAAATCTGTTAAACACTGTATCAGTATTGAGTACAGAAATGAATTAACTACCTTGTATACCTGTGCAAAGAAACCCTATAACCTCTGCAATTTTCAAATCACCTACAATACCTGAATACATTTCAGAGTAAACCTACAAGCATATCACATTATAAATATAAAATATACTACGTTTGTATAAACATTCATCACACAATTCTCTTTGTGCAGTAGGTATTCCAGAAATTTAAAATATGGTCTTTTAAGTTTATTAAAAAATTTCAAAATGAAAAACTGGAGGTGAGTATGCTTGGTGAATTATCCTAGATATATGCTAATTAAATTTATCTATGCTAAAAATTGATTTTTTTAAATACCATCATTCCTTTTGCATGTTCAATTAGCGGTAAACATAGAAAGGCCTACCTTTAGTGTCTAAATCGAGCAATCCGTATTTTTTAATTATTGTAGTTCTAAATTTATTATATTATGTAATACATTAATAAATATACATTAAACAATATACATATATAATATATATATATATATATATATTTATTTATTTATACTTCTTTCTAGTATTATTAAGTTTTATTAAAAAATATGATAAATATTGAAACGTCAAAAACAGTAAACGCAATATAAAATGAAAGTTTGTTTACACATAAAATAAAAATTATAGCTTCAGATCTTTATACTTATATTTATTTTATTTTTTTTATATACCTACATAATTGATGTTTTATAAAAAAATTAAATTGAACAATTTTAATATCAAAAATTATAATTTGTAATAATCAATTGAATTATTTAGATAATAGAAGCGTATTTATCATTAATTTAAATTAGAATACTTAAAAAAAATAAATATTTTGTACACAATAATTGGATTTTAATTAAAATATTATTTTAGATCTATAGCTAGGTTCTACCTAACCTAACCTTGGTACGTACGTACACAGACTTTCA